TTGGGATTGCACCCAAGGAGCCTATTACTATTGGTACTACCCTTGCTTGCTTTTGCCACAGTCTTTCTATTTCTATTTGTAGATCTTTGTATTTTGTTATCTTCTCCAGTTCTTTCTCTCTATTCTGCTGTCTCCAGGCACTGCCACGTCCACTATCCAGATTTTTTTGTCTTTCTTATCGACAATTGTTAAGTCTGGGGTGTTATGTTGCAGGTGCTTGTCTGTTTGAATTCTGAAGTCCCAGAGCAATTTAATTTTATCATTTTCTATGACTTTCTCTATTTTATGATCCCACCAGTTTTTGCTTACAGGCAAATGATATTTTTTTGCAGAGCTTCCTATTATTATTATTATTATTATTATTATTATTATTATTATTATTATTATTATTACAGGATACCACACTATGCTTCTCCAAACCCTGTCAGTCAGTCAGTCAGTCAGTCAATCAGTCAATCAAATTTAGGTACTAGCCATCTGACTTGCAGAGAAGGTTTTTAGATTTTTTTAAAGTATTTTTTTAGTTTTAATTTTTTTTCTCCCCTTATTTCTATGGAAAGCACATTGTATCTTCAGTTTTGTGCAGAGTCCTATTGTGAAGCTGAATGACATCTGGAAACCTCCTGAGATGGCAGTCAGAGACTAAAATTTTAATTCCACTTACACATTAAATAATAAAGCTAAGGCAGCCTGTGCATACATAGTGGTGCTCATTTCTTTGTTAACACTTCATTGCATGATTGTTAAGCTAAGAAGCTCAATCATCAAGTATATGTGTACTGTCAGTTCATTTCTAGTTGTGCAACATTGGAGGCTTGCAGCATCATGTGATTCCAAAACCACCACTATTTTATGTTTGCACAGGTTTTCCAACAGAGGGTTCTTCCCCTTAACCGTGGCACAAACATACTCCAAAGTACACTGCATGATGTTACCTCATCCCTAGCCAAAATCTGAGAAAGCTTAAAGTTATCCTTCTCTGCTCTGGTTTTAAAGTTCTTGCAACACAACTTTTGACATGGATATAATTTGGCACACTTTACTAAATGTGTGGGGGCTGATGCAGTTAATGGTTGGGATCTGTCTAGTTCTCAGTAGCCGTTTTGAGCTATTATAGACACCTCCCCGCCCCTCCATTGCTTAGGTTATAGGAGATCCAGGATACTTCACCAGGAGCACCTGCCTACATAATAGTTGACTGGTGTTATACACAGTGCTGGTCAGATTTTTATAGAGGCTTCTTAAATATAGGTTTAACATTCTTTTGAATGAGCACTACAGGTAGTCAAATTATTTAACTATGTTAAACAGTTGAATTAAACATTGAATATCTAGTTTTATTTATGTTCCTAAACTGTAAATTAGATGAAAATTAAAGTCCTGAAAAGTTTCATTAATCAAACAGAAAATTATTTTTATGAAATTTATTTTGATCTGTTATATGCAAATAAATATCTAAATCTTAATAAACGTTTATATCACCGTTCCTTGTCTATTGTAAAAGCCACAGAACAGTGGTGGCAAACCTATGGAACGCGTGCCAGAGGCGGTACTCAGAGCCCTCTCTGTGGGCACAAACGCTGTTGCCCCAGCAGAGTTTGCCAGAGTAGCAAACCCGTGATGTTTGGAAATGACAGGGCAGGAAGTGAGCGAGCAAGGGGTGTTGGCCCCCTGGGGATGCTCCAGAGATGGCGAGGGACTGGCCCCGGCCACGTTCACCCAGCTGCCGTGACCACTGCAGCCACACCCACCCAGTGTGCCGCGCCCCCCGTGAGGGCACCACATTGCTGATGCTTTGCGATAAATAAGTGGGTTTTAGGTTGCAGTTTGATCACTTGGTCTCTAAAAGGTTCGCCATCACTGCCATAGAATGCTTGTCTTCCCTTCATTATTTCTCATAAAGCTTCTCCAGCATTTTTATTCTCAAAACCCTTTAAAAAATAAGCAGTTTCTATTCCTGAAAAATCTGTTGGGATTTTACACAAACTGATAAGTGCTGGAGTTAGAGCATGACTTCAAGCTGAAAGTGAGCTAAGACAGTCTCAAATATTTAAGAGGCAGCAGGATACAATAGAATAGAATATGTTAAGTTTGAAAACTTAATGAAAAAATAACAAGTATTATGAGCAGAGCTTTTAAACATTTAGTATTCAAAACAATAAATTATTAACTAAGTCAGATCTAAGATACTGCAATATATAAATTATTTCTACAGGTCAAAAATGTAAATATTTTTCAGTGAACATTTTTGGGTAAAGATGTTTAAACCTTTGATGTAATTCTATGGGCAAATATTGGCAAAAGAATACCAGTGTTCATGAGGCTTTTTATGATTAAAACCTTGGAGATTTTTGAAAAAACAACAACAATCAATATATATTTTTTCTGCTGCATAGATTTTTGAGGTCCTGGTTCTTATTAAATCCATTATATTTCATAAGACCTATTAGTACAAAATAGAAGCCTTATTTCATAATCTGCTATAAAAGTATATGAAAGGTTCCCAATATATAAATATTTCCTTTGTTATTCCTTAAAATAATACAGCTTAGTTGAGTACAATTAGCACCAGCAAATGATTGTGATGGGCTTACAACCTTACTCCCCCTTTGGTCATTAAATGAAGTGCAGTGATCGCTATACAAAATCATGTGACCGTGACTTATGACATTACTACCATTTTCGGTATTAACTCTGCATCATGCAAGCCAGTTGCAAAGCACACAAATGGTGATCACACAACCACAGGCTGCTGCAACAGCCATAAATGCAAGGATAACTTCCCTTCTCCATTTAAAAAAAATAAAACTGTGGGACCTGCAAAACTTTAAATTGTGCTACCTGCCATTTCACCCCAATCCAGTATAAAGGCTGCAGACCATATGGCTATAGATAGCTCTCGAAGGCCTCTGATGGTGAAACGGAGGCTAAGGGACATCGTGCACGTCAATCCGGAGCTCATTTCTCAGCTGCGGAGGCCTTTCCTGAAGGCCTGTGATGGAGAAATGGAGGCCAGGGACGATCCATGCGAATGGCGGCAAATGGCTGCAGAAGTAGGCCAGCGAGGCAGGTGTCGGGGCGTGGGAGGCCTAGCTGCAACTGTCCTAAGGTAAGTTGGTGCGGAGCATGTGGGGCAGTTCCACCCATCCCCACCCTAGCTTGATTTTTACCTGTGCGCCTCACCCCACCTCATGCAACCAGGTGCAATGGAATGGGTGGGGTCTTAAGTAGGGATTTTTGGAGTAGGGCTTATATTGGCTGCACGTGTAAAAATCAAGCTAGGGCTTATTTTCAGGGTAGGTCTTATTTTCAGGGAAACACGGTGTTATACATTTCTAGCATGCTCATCCCCTGCTCTCATAATACAATTTCTAGCTTATTTATCTGGCTCTTTCATTTGAATACATTTTCCCCATCTATGCGAAAGATTCTGCATTCTATTTTTCATTTTGGTTAATCATTTCTGCATAATTTTTATTTCTACTAATTAAGACTGGCTAAATTTATTGAATATATTCATAAATCCATTATGGCATTATTGATTTTCTTCACAAACCTTTCCATTAACACTTAATGAAGGTTTTGACCACCGTTCATCAAAGTCAACACAATCACTATATTTTTCTGGTTTTGTCATGAGTAACATATATGCCTTTATTGTGGTTCATTCATGCAACTTGAAGTTTTTCATTTTAGCTTTTTCAAATCTAGCTGTTTGTGATGATAAATTTATATAATGAAAACTTCTCCCCTCGATTCCAGATTATTTCTGAATAAACTAGTACAAAGCTTTTCTGTGAAAAAAAAACTGTTAAACCCTTTCCTTCTGTTTTAATTGTTAGGCTAGGCTAGGCTAGGCTAGGCTAGGCTAGGCTAGGCTAGGACAGGACAGGATAGATCTCACTGTTAGGAGGTTTCTCCTTAATTCCAGGTTCCTTCTCTCTTTGGTCAGTTTCCAGCCATTGTTTCTTGTCCTGCCCTCTGGTGCTTTAGGGAATAGTTTGATGCCCTCTTCTTTGTGGCAGCCCCTCAAATACTGGAATACTGCTATCTTGTCACCCGTTTCTTCTTTTCTTTAGACTTGCCAAAGCCAAGTTCTTCATATGCTTTAGTCTCCAGGCCTTTGATCATCTTAGTTGCTCTTCTCTGAACTTTTTCCAAAGTCTCAACATCTTTTTTGTAGTATGGTGACCAAAATTGGTTGCAGTATTTGTGGTGTGGTCTCATTAGGTATGTCTTCCATCTACTTCCTGGGTTATGACAGCTAAACATACTAGAGATTTTGGTAGTGGTATTTTATCAAAAATTCCAATGGTACATTTAAGGAAGATTTATTTTTCCAGGCACTTTGCTGATTTTTTTAAAGTTAAATCCATATGATTACTTTACTAACCCAGATGGGTTTTTAAACATCTCTGATGCATATGTGGATAGCTGAGGAAGTTTTATATAGTGCAGTATATTTCAGATCCCCTTCGGATCTTTTATATAATGCAATATATTTCAGCTCCCCCCTTCTCCCCCACTAAGAGGAAAATGATGTTAGTGATGTATCCCAGTTCTTAAGAAAGACTGGTTTCAATCAAGGATCGCTGGGGGTGTCTGAAATGGCCATTCCCTCCATGGACAATGGCTCAATGGCCTTGAACTGGAGATAAGCACCGCTCCCTACAATCAGCAACGACTAGCGGAATAAAATCTGTATTCCTTACATATCTTTTACTACTGGGAAAACCAGAGGGCACACAAAGCAGAGATGTCTTGTCTTCTACAGAAGCATTTGTATTCCATTAGACAAGGATATTTTTCAATCTTGTTTTTGAAGTACAGCTGAACTGGCCAACAATGGAGCGCTGGCATAGGATAAGAAGTGATAGATGGAGGTATGGATGGAAATTGGAATGGCATATCAGATGGGGTTAATTGTTAATTGATTTAGTTATCAAACTGAGGAAGCAATAAAATCAAATCATTGAATACGAAACAAAAGTTTAGACTCACTCAGTACAAATATTTTACATTTATTGAAGTAATACAGTAAAAAAAGGTACTGAACACCAGTTAATTGTAGATGGTCCAGTTAAAGAGAGAGAGGCCATTGAAAATTATCTGCACAGTTTCTAAATAAACAAAATACTCCTTTTTATAATAGGCTAGGAAAGTGAAATAAGGTTAATTTTGGTTCAATCTGAATACAAAAAATGAGAAATAAATAAAAGTTAAAATGTAGATCTGCTAAAATTGCAAAAGAACAGATGACTATTAAGTATATATAGGCAATCAGAGCACCTGTATTTTGAAGAATGCAATTCATTCCAGTGTTATGTATAAACTATATGTTGCACAAATATATTATTTTTAAACAATAAAGGTGCTTTACCTGGTATTAAAACTGCTGGTGCTTATATTGGAACTAACTAGTGGTAAAACAATTACAACAAAATACATGTAATAAAGCTGTAAACTCTTGTGGTATTCTTATAGAAAATGTCTTAATTTCTACTGCAGCTTGCTAAAAGCCGCAGTGTCCCTAACCACTTTATGACAATGAGGAGCTGGGCGTGGGCAGGGGGAAAGATGGAGAAAATGCAATTTGGAAAACATACTTCTCTAGTCTCAGATCGACTTCTGCTTCTGTCTCTATACCAGTGTTTCTCAACCTTGACAATTTTAAGGCATGTGGACTTCAACTCCCAGAATTCCACAGCCAGCATTGCTGGCTGTGGAATTCTGGGAGTTGAAGTCCACATGCCTTAAAATTGTCAAGGTTGAGAAACACTGCTCTATACACTTCTGCTAAATCAGTTAAAAGATACCGTGGTAATCACATATCTTTCTTGAGTTTGGCTGAAAGCTGGCATGGCATTTGATGACACAGAATTATCTTGCAATTTGTGTCCTGGGATTCAGAATTCAAAAGCCGTAAGACTAGCCATGACAGAATTAAGCATAAAATTAAAAATATGCGTAACCTAAAGGTTCGGTTATGCTTTCTATGCACATTTTTTTATCATTCTGTTTTGTTTATCTACAAGTTGTATTTTTTCTTTCCACCTTATACCTTTCTGAATACATTTTTTAAAAAAGAATAACATCTTCTGTTATTCCTTTATGCCTTGAGAACAATAATCTGGTATGTCTGTTCTGCCTGTTCTTTCCTGAATCAATAAATAATAATAGCACTGACTTCCTTTTCTTAACTTAAGGAGTTTTTTTCTTCATACACTGTCATCCTTAGTTTCCGCTGTTAAGGGCATTTAGAAGATCCCCCCCTTTTCCTAGGGGTTAATGATGGGCCTAATTACATAAAATGAATCCTTCTACTTTTACAATCAGAAATGAAATCCTACCAAAGGTTTAACTAAGCTATGAATTTTAAAGCAGTGCTTCTGTGATTGGCTTTCCAGGGAAGATTGTGACTTTTGTCTTATTATCTAACATAGTTTATCTACCTTTTATCAAATGATATATTAGATTTAGAACTAGTTGGAGCTGATCTTTTTTTCAAAGACTGTGTCTGTTTTGCCTCATTTCTATATTAGCTATTTTAATAGGTTTAGCACATCTGTGACCACTAAAAATTAGCAAATTTCCCTTAGTTCATATACATTCAAAATTAGAATGTGTATACCCCTCTGCTCAATATTTTAATTCAGGATTATTGAGTTTGTGGTGCAATAGCCCAAACAATAACATGTTTGCACTGTTCAATTGCTCCACAATAAATTGCACAAAACAAACTTATTTAGAGGATATAGATCTCCTTTATTTTACCATCCTAATTTTTTACAGTTTCCCTCTTGCCAGAAAAAAATTATGCTTATAAATACTAAAATGTTGTCAAAAATAAAAAGTCATTAGAGAGGAAATTCAATTTTTCTGAACCCAGTTTTTACACATTATTCAGTTTCAAGAGCTAATGTTTTAACAACTAAGAGGAGAAAAAGCTAAACAAGTAAAAGTTCTGTCTTAAATTGGATGAAACAAAACCTTATAGAACTCAATGAAAATTTATAAATTCCAATAAGACCTACTTGTAACAGTTACTTTATAAAACTAAAGTTGATTTTTTAAAAAAGACAAATCCAATTGTATGATTCCCCCCTCCCCCCCGAAGTCCTTGTGCCTTCTTAGATTAGGACTATTTCTTCTGTTAGGGATCTTAACATGAAATTATACTACAGGACTAAAGTATCTTATGGCATTTAATCTATTTTGTCTGATGAAAGAGAGATTAGTGCTGCAATGGCATCTGCTTTGTTATTCAAGACATACACAAATATTGTATGACCAAGGCCTACTGCTTATTCATTTTTTAAAATGTTACATTCATAAATGTTTAAAATAGAATTTTAGAGTTAGCAATGCTTCCTTCTTAAGACCCCTTACAATTCTGACTGAGAATATGGCACAGGATGAAAAAGAATACAATCTACTCTCTTAATTTCCTGCTGAGCAGGCTGCTCAGTTGCTGGGAAATAAGAAGCAGTTTTGGAAGCAGAAGAAAAATTTTGATGATAAAGAATCCTCACATTCACGGATTCAGTTCAGAATGGGTTCCTCCTATCCTGGCAACCTGCAAAAGCTAAAAGCAGGTATTTCACTGCAAGTAATTAGGGGGGGGGAGCTCCATCTTTAATTAAACTCTATAAATTCCAGATAGTATAGTTAAAAGCTCTTTTTGTTAATTTTAAAGAAACAAAATGTACTAAATCTTTTAGTCAGCTAGTACAATATATAAAAATTGTACTGATAGAGACCTGTAAATTGTTACTTACTACCTTACTGCCAGTAATATGCAACCAGGCTCAACAAATTGATGTAATCAGTTGATTCACTTCCCAAAACTTAACAAACTAACTGAATATTTCTAACCAAACAAGCTTCATAAAATTGCTGTTTCCAACCTTCTATAGTATCTGCATCAACATTTAAAAATAGCAAAAAAGATGACACTTGTTACTTTCATTCATAAATAAAAATACATACCATAGTCCATAAATATTTCAAAAAATGGAAAGTTAGTAAATAATCTTGAATGAATGTGGGCCTTTAATGCTTTCTTACCTTGTTTTTTATATATATAAGGTATACAGATCTTGTATTTCAGAATAATGTGCTTTTGGCAAGAGTCTTACGCTATATGGCTAATTTATTAAAACATATTTTTATAGTGAAGCAAGGTATAGAGTGCAAATCAATTTCAAATTATTTTTTATGTGACATATCTTCAAAAGTTTTGGCATTTAGTTGTAAAATGTTAATTTGTTCACAATTTTTTAGTTTATTGCATTTTCAAATCTTGCTAATATTTATTAATATTTAATGCTTATTTAGTATTACATATTACCAGCAATAGGGATTCTAATTTTATTTTTTACAAGAACTACATCAATTCTGGAACAATAGATTTTCTAATTATGCAGAAAACTTTCACTTACTCCATTAAGAAAGGAAATGACTATATGCATTTGGTATGGATATAGGTTTACAACATAATTTAAATAGTTTGATATGGTAGGTAAAACTGGTTTTACAAATTAAGTTACAAACTAAGAGAGTAGATTGTAAGAATGTGTGAAAAATATAATATTAATTAGCTAAACTTACTTTCTGGGAATGAACCGTGACTACATTCTAATTTCTGATTTTAGGTGACCCTCTGATTTTAGGACAGGAGACAGGCAAAACAAATGGCCAATGTTCTGATATTATGTTCAGAAATGTTTTCAAATTAGAGCAGCAGTCTGACATGAATTGCAAATTTTAACTGCTTACATAAATGAAATATAAATAGCAGTTACCCTTTACATTTATACAAGAAGATAAGGACAAGTTGTCCTTCTAATCAATTTAAGACAAAGTGCTGTCCTTTTTCATGTTGAAAGACAGAATACATTCAGAAGATTTTAAGAAATGGAACAATCTCTCCTATATAAAAATAGTAACCCTTAAAAGAAAAAACTAAAAACATCATGAATACAAGGAAATACATTCTTTACATTCTGTCCTGACATTTACATTAGTGAATGCATAGACGAAAATGTGCAACTGGGCAATTTGTGGTGTTTTTCCCCTTATGGTATTAAAATTCAGTCCTTGTGCATTTTAATTAACAAAGGCATGCCGATGATTAAAGGCACACTATTTGGATCCCTTTAGGATCACAATAATCAATTTTCCTACTTTTGCTGAATATTTTTTTTATGATCCATATATGCCCATTACTATACCTAGAAACTGCAGTATTACATTTATTTCTCCTTTCTTTTACCTCTTTACTGGATTACGAACTATAAAGCAATCTTTGTATATAAGGCAACACTAACCTGATGTCCCTTGCATTATGTTACCAACAAGCTCATCTACAATGAAGAACATTTTCCTCCAATATAATGCTTTACTGTTTTATTCTGATATTAATTTTTATCATGTAAATGACATCAATTTTTCTAGTCTAAAAGTAGAATACATCTTGCTCAACATCACCACTCTGTACTACCACAAAACACATGCATAAAAGACCAAAAGTGCTCTTCCAGAATGATGAGCAAAACAGATATGTTTTGCAATCACAGACTTCACCAACATCTTGGTTCTCCCTATTTCAAGGAGCAAAAGATCACATTGCTTCATCTGGAAGTGCCTGATTTGCTGATACAACATGACTAGCATTTGGCTGCTTCTGAGGTATAATATGAAACCTCTTGCAACAGAACTGACCTGCTACAGATTCAGTCATTCTCCTTGGGACCTCAGGGAAAATCCAGTCATTAATTTTGCTGGTTATTGATTGATAATTCTCAGAGCATCCAAATATCAATTTAACAAAGGGTGAGTTTAACTGGAAAAATGGAATTGTATTCTGTTCAAGTTTGTAGCTTTAGAGGGCAAACTACCTTTTTCAAAGATAGTAATTTTTTATTACAATATTCTTCTCTGGGCCTTTTTTAAAAACAAAACTGAGAAACTGATAGTGGATACAGTATGAATGTGTGTATATTTCTTCCTCCAGGGGTATACAGAATGGAAACATCAATTCACAAAGTTTCCAATCAAGTAATTCACTTTGCTTTTCCAATGTAAAATCAGTGCTACTGGTTACCTTAATCATACGCTACTTTCATTTGCAAATATGTTATTGACTGCATTATTGAATGTGCACATTTAAAAATGTCTATTTCTATATTCATTCTTCTGAAAGTCAGCACTTCCCAGTAGTTGCATTACATGTAACACTCACTTTTGAATATATTTTTTTTCCTGAAAATAAAAAACTACACTATTGATTTGTGCTTGCCAGTTTCTGGCAAATTGTGCCTCTTTTTTTCTCATTTAAAGATGCAAATAAATAATATCCAATATTAGAAACAATTACTATATTGAAATGTATTTAAAACAATTAGTGCCCAAACTCCGCAGTCTTATCCTTACATAACGTTCTTGAATAAACACATATTCAATATTGCATCAGCTGGTGATTTTGCACATGTATGTTCCTTTCCTTAAAAGATATATTGAAAACTGTGCATTTAACATTCATGGGAATGATTCATGAAGCATTGGGCTTACACTAAGACTGTTGCAAGTGCATGGATTGAAAAGGAGAAACAAAGCCCCCAAAATATTCTTCGGGATTTATCACAGAAATATCTAAATGAGCCAGAATTTCCTAACTCTACACATATATTACATGTTTATCTATTTACACAAAACCTAAATAACAGCATATAAAGCACTTAGCAGAACACTCTGTTTTTAACATAGACATTCTTCAGGTTGGGCACATTTGAATAGAAGAAGTTTTTTTGATTTAAAAAAGGAATCCTAGAAGAATATCAGAAGAAATATGATATAAATGTGTTGGATTTATGACAGGAAAAATACTTTTCTACAAAAAAGGAAGTCCTGTCCTTTGAGTCATGCTAGTTTCTCATGATGTCACCTTCTTTTTCAGTGCAGACAGCTCTTTGTGAATCTCGCTGAATTTTGGTCTCATTTCAGGATTGTAATCCCAACATCGTTGCATTATTTTATAGATATCCTCTGGACACTTCTGAGGTGCTGACATTCGATAGCCTAGTATGTATTTTTTAAAATAGATTATTAGAAATGTAGTTGACTCCTATACAATGTGACTTAATATACATATACCTATACATTTTTTTAAAAAAAATTGAACAAGATCTTCTCCGTTGCACTGCCTGCCCTCTGGAACAGCCTCCCCACTCAAGATTTTATGGTTCCAACTGGTTTGCTTTCCACAAAGCATCAAAGACTGGGTTATGGGGCCTGAGCATGATTTATATTTATACAGTTTTTTTGCTATTTGTTTGGTGTTTATTGTGGCTTATTATGTTAAATCATTAGTCAGCAGAATGTTTTATATTGCACAATGTAACTTGACCTAGTAGATAGCCATATGCTATAACCTAGATCTCTTTCCCATGATGACCACCACCTCTGCTGATTTATTTAAAAAAATTAAACCATGGTTACATATAGTAAGCAACCTAGATGAAAATTTAAAGGGGAAAGAAAAGGGAGATGAAACAAAAATCTCTTTCCTAAAGCAGTTGATCTTAGTCAACGGCTGTTTCCAGATCAAGATCCCTTGCACACATTTAGACCAGAAGACATTTCATAGCCCGGATCTCAGTCCACAACAAAACAGAGCTTATAAATCAAGTGGCCTCACTTACTCTGTCTGAGTGTCCAGATTCAGTAGGCTTCAGCCTCATGGCTGGTAGATGGGGTTTCATTTTTATTTGGCTTGCAGGCAACTACCCCACCCCACCCCTCTGAAGAAAAACCAGGAAGACAAAGACAAAATGGAAACTGCCCTCCTCTCTCTTCTGTCTTAAAAGTAAAGCCACAGTTTTGATTTGGTCCTCAGCACCTGATTTTGTGGGGCTTCAGTTGTTTTCTTTCTCTTTTTGGTGCCTAGGCTAGTCCCTAATTATCTTGGCAAGATTTTCTAAGTGGTTTGATATTGCCTGCTTACTAGGACTGAGAAAATGTGAGTGGCCCAAGGTCGCCCACCTTGGTTTTGCATTTAGTGGTTTTTTGTGTTTCTCTTATTTAATAATATTTAAGAATATAAATGTGCATGCGTGCGAATGCGCATGTGTGCACACCATGTAAGAAATGGCAGATGGGAGAAATATGTCAGGTACAGTGTTTCAGATCTGCAGGCAAAATGGTGATTTGGAGCATACATATGTGCGCACATCACAGTTGCCTGAAATTCCTTAAACTAAATCCATCTTTTCCTGGGGTCAAGTTACAACTGCAATCCTTATGGGAAAATAAAAGCAGTCCTCGACTTACAACCACAACAGAGCTCAACATTTCTGTTGCTAAGTGAAACACGTTAAGTGAGTTTTGCCTCATTTTATGAGCTTTCTTGCCCCAGTTGTTAAGTGAATCACTGCAGGTGTTAAGCCAGTAACACAACTGTAAAGTGAATCTGGCTTCCCCATTGACTTTGCTTGACAGAAAGTCGCAAGTGGGAATCACATGCCCCGGGACATGGCAACAGTTATAAACACGTCAGTTGCCAAGTGTCTGAGTGCTTGATCACATGACCATGGAGATGCTGCAACGATCATAAGTGTGAAAAATGGTCAGAAGTCACTTTTTTCAGTGCCGTTTTAACTTTGGATGGTCATTAAGCAAACTGTTGTAAGTCAAAGACTATCTGTAATGCTGTAGTTTCTAGGGGTAGACAACAATGCTATGTATGCACATCTAGAAGCATCTTTTGGCCTGCATAACTGTTTTCAAACTGCTGCACAGCCTTAATATGCAGGTCATTCTAAGAGCCAAAGTCCACTTCATCAAATAATTCCCATGTAGTTCTGCTAAAAACTTTACAGATAGCTAAAGATTAGCCTTGTACAATGACTTTATTATAAGATGGTGATTTTCTAAATAATCAAACAGCAAAATAAACCATCTAGCATGAATACCTGCTATATCATTTCAGCTATGCTGAATTATCTCCTGTTTGGTGTTAGAACTTCAGCCTAATTTATAAAAAACATATAAATAATCAGATGGAATTTACACATATTCATTGCAAACACACACATACAATTACCTTTCTCCACTTGTTCCCGTGCTTGCTGATTAGTCATGCCTGGATACGGGCATACCCCTAAGCTGAACGTCTCCCAGAGGAAAATCCCATAACTCCATACATCACTCTCAGAAGTGTATCGTCCTAAGGGATAAAGAGATAACAAAAGGATGGACAACGAAAATCCATACAGAAAAATAGGCAAGAAACAAAAGGCCTACTAGGCTGGAACTGCAGACCTTCAGAATTCTGCAGGGAAAATGTGGGCTCTTCATGTCTGGAGGTTTTAACTAGAGACTCATGTTTTTTGGCTAATAATAATTATAAGCTCAATATGATTCTGAACCTATCAACGTAGCGTTTTACAAGTTGTGCAGGCTTGTACTAGATAACTTTTGTGGTCCCTTCTGACTCTTTAATTCCATGATTCATAATCCTAACTGTATCCTTAATCAATGCCATTTCTCAGTGCTCATATACTAAAATAGTTTTAAAAAATCCATTGCAAAATATTAAAACGTTGACACAAAACAATGTCAATGTTTTTTAAAACAATACTTAGCAATACTAAGTCAAAGTAGCAAGGAGCCATAGACAGGAAAGTGAAGTTTGAAAGTTCCCTTGGAAAGGAAAAATTCTTTATGCCAATCTTTATACCAATCTTTAACTCCCTGGTTATAGAAGATGTTATATTTAAATAGCTGGTATATCCAATAATAAAATAAAATGACGAATTTGTGTCTTAAAACAAAGGTATATCATTCAGTAGCTACTCTTATTATGAATTTCAAGTTATTTAGCAATCTGCTGTTTTCCACTTCCATTTCTAATCTCCATTTGCAGCCCTCTTCACTTTCCTCATTGGCTAGTTGACCAACATGATTGCATTTCCTATTGCCATTAGCGTACTATGTGGGACATTGGGAGGAAGCAGGAGATTTGTTGTTACCTTTTTTCTCCCAGCAACATTGTTTGTGGTGTACTAGTTTAGGACTGTCAGTAATAAGCAATGTTGACCAGAATTACTGCGACAGAGCAAGATCAGGCTTTTCACTACATAAATCCTGCTTTCAATAGCTGACATCTTATAGTGGAACTAGAAATCAGCAAGCAGATTAGGAAAAAGAGGGAGATTGTGGAAGGTATGACGGTAAGTATCCAGATATGAAACAGGATCTCACCAGATAATAATAGATCTCTCAAAATCTTACCAATGTTTTACTGGCAAAAAGAAATAAGCACATTTCGTAAGGTTTCCTAATCTTGGAAATTAGAGTTCCAGCTGTTAATCAAAAGTCACATACAGTACTTGTCAATGTGGTTAAATGTTGCCCTCTAGAGGGGGAAATCAAATGCCCAATTGAACCTCAAGTTTATATGGTTCTTTAATATTTAAAATGACTATAGCAAATATATAAACTACTCCAGGAATGTGTGAGATTTATTACGGTAGTATCGCCTCAGAAAAAAAAGACTGTGGATTGTGTTCTATTGAAAAATGTCCCTCTTGCATACTCAGACTGGGAGCCAAATATTTCTTGGTCAAATTTTATTAGACATCAATAGTAAGATATGTCAAACTTGTCTTTATATCAAGTTTGATTTTTACAGTACTTTCCATGAAGGAATTTACTCTCCAAGATAAGAAGCAATGATTATCCCCTTCTTTCATGGAACAGGTATTTTGAGTCACTATAATAAAGAAGACCAGCGCTGCTGGAAAATCCTAGAATCATATTATTTCCTTGCATTATTTTGAAAATGGAATCTTTTAGGGTCTGAGACTTGGGAATTTTGTGTACTCCATGTCCTTTTTGTCAGCTGAAAGTATTCACAAGATGATTAGAATACATGACCTGTTGGAACAGTTACCAAGATTATTAAGTTTTTTTGCATCCAGATTTAATCAGTTTTCAGAAATAGCAAAACAGAAATGGATGGTAGTAATTATCATGAGAGAGATTCAATAATTTATAACTGTTTTTGAAAATGATCTCTGAGTTTGCAGGGGTTTTTTTTGATTTCTCAATTGCTAAATATTTAACTTACAATTTAAATCTATGATACACAAGTATAAATGAAATACACATAAGTGACACTGATGGCTGAAGTTATATTCATTGTTCCAACTCTCAAAGTTCTATTTGCATTTAAACATCTCATGCTGTTTTAAATTAGGCTACCTGGTAAGTGGAGAGCAATTATGAGCATTCACTGTGCTGCTAGAAATGCGATTACCTGTCTAAGTCTACATCTCATTTCCTTTGGGACTTAACATCTAATAGTATAATATGTTTCATTTAAAATATTTAGGAATGTCAATTAGAAACAATTGTTTTGTTAAGAAAAAATAAGTTATATGGAATTAATTATCTTTCTCAGTATATGACAACCTTCCCCAAGCAGCACTTAAATTTACAAAAATCTCAAACCTCAAGGAACACTCAGTGGAAAGCTGCTACATAGGAATCTTCAAAGGATGCTGGTGCTAAAACTTTAGCAGTATGCATTAAGGCCATAGAAAATTGAGAAAGCTATGCTGAAAAATGAGAGCATAAGAAATTGCGGCTGTTTCTTGGATTTGCACATCCCAATCACTTTCTCTCGCTTTTCTCTTGGGACTGGAAATAAAAATTTTAGCACCCCAACTCGGTAACTGACTCAGTGTCTCTAGTCCATTCTTAAAATTCATCTAGCTGAGAAGTCATTGACTCAGTCACAGGCTGGACACTATCACATTTAATGGTTTAATGGCTGCTATTTTGGGAGCGACAACCAATCAGTGCTGTGAAGGTGTATTCTGTGACCATTCAAACAGGAGTTCTCAGTTACGTTGACCACCAGAAGATATTTCATGACTGATTTTGTTGACAATATACACTGCATCAAAATAGAGAAATGTCTCCCTCCGCCTCCTGGCAAGGGAGTAGATGGGGGCATGATGTAACATAACCCCTGTCTCCTCCTCTGAGAGCTTGAGTACCATGTACTCTGATAGTGCTTTTAATTTTTTAGTGGGTGTATATCTTTATCCAGGAAAACTGACTAGGATTCTAGGTCACAGGACACAAAGCTTATTAAGGGGAAGAATTTGACTAATTCAACACCCCAATATAGTTTTAGGTTAAAACTGCTCCTTTCATGCCTCAACACTGCATGAATTAGTGGGTCTGCAGACAATAAGCTGCAAACCTGAATTGGAGATGATATGTTATGTAAAAACAATATTTCTGGGAAATAACTATAGCAGATTTGTCACATTTTTAAGGTTCTGAAGTGACATTTTATTTTCGAGTGATGTCACAATGTTACTGAAAACCTGAGCAATATCTTAAAAATATTCATTATTGATGGGACAGGTGATACAGTAATAAGAAACGTTCACTTTCTGTGAAGTAGACTTATTTTCATTTTGCTTTACATTTTAATAGAATGTTAACTTAAGTAATATTACTGTAACTTTACGCATATAGTATCTAATACTAATGAACACTGCATAATCTCCATTTGGTATTTATTTTTAAAACAGAAATATGCATCTGTTCCTCCACTCATAAACAAAAATCCATATACTATATCTTCATTTCTTTTCTACTAATAGAGTTTTCTTTTCTTCCATTCTTTTTTTAGAACAGTCTGCCTGATTCTATTTTTGTTAGGCCATTTCCTTTTTGCAATAAAATTCAGCAGAGAACTACTGCTTCAAACTATTCAAACTATTTTTTTAATCATATTTTTTTAATTGCTCACTCTCAGGTTTTATATAAGCTCATTGCCAGAATTTTAAATCAATCAATCAATATATATATTTTTAATTTTACAGATACACACACACATTGAAAATTCTTTAGGGCTTGTATGATCATTTTATAAAAATGTGAAATAAAATAAATAGCAAGTTATAAGAATGTTTAAAAGAGCAACAGAGACCCTAGCAATATGATAAAAATCTGAAAGTCTCAAAGGCTTCAGCAAATTAAAATTTGTTTTTTATACTAATGACATCCATGTAATGCATGCTGGGAAGAGTACGCCAGGTTAAGGAAACTACAAAAGTTTTGCGGTCCATGATTTACTTCATATTTTATATCACTTATAGCCAGGAACAAACAGAATGGGCAACAGTTTTCTCTCAAATTTTCAATTCAGCGGAACTGGAATATACACTGTGCTCCACTTTCCCAACAGTAGATAGGACAAGTTAAAAACCTGTCACTGCATTTGGCTGCAAATGGAATCATATCACATAGGCTGGACTGCATGTCCGTCTAATTCCCAGGTCAATGGTGTGAATATAAGGAAAATAATAGAAGTGCCTGCCTTGGTGTCCCTCTGGACCTGAACTAGGGAGTGCCCCTCCCAAAGGAGGGGCCGTCCCTCTCACAACAGTCTGCTACCACTTCTTATCCCAGCTCTGCTTCTTCTGCTCCTGGCTGAGTCACCAACTGTGCATATTCCTGCCTCCTTTCCTTGCAATCTGAATCCATAAGGTCAAGTAAGTAATGGAAAATGGGCAGCATGTTAGTAGGGCTACAGACATTGAAGACAGTGAACCAAAAGCACTGTTTTGACAATTGTGGCCAAGGGACGAGGAGGAGGTATTCCAGGGCCCGATTACCTCCCAGATAAGCCATTATCCCAGTGTCCAAGCTAATGCCCCTCCGTATTCCTTGGTGGTGGGCCCAATTATTTGTGGACGCAGCATCAGGAGCTGGTCAGACATTTTTCTCCTTCCATATCATTTCCTGCCTGCCACACCTGGAAAGCAGGAGGAGAATGTCTAGAGAAGTAGGTCCTGTTTGAGAGGTATATACTTGTTATCTGAGGGGATTTATTTGACATGTATTGGGATTTTCCAAAAGCTTTTTACAAACTACTTCATCAAAGACTACTGAATAAGTTTAATGGCCTCCCAGAGTTGCTTTGAATAGTGAGATAGGAAGCGTATAAATTTAACAAACAAACAAGCTGTTTAGGAGGACAGACCTCTTCGAGATAAATTACTTAAAATAGAAAAAAAACACAGGCGAAGAAAATATAGACGCTACACAGTATTATTTCTAAAACAATGAAATAATGGACTTTTTGGTTTAGTTGTTACATTTTGTCTAGCTGAAATGAAGGTAATTTTTACAGCCATTTGGTAGAAGTGTACAGAAAGCAAAGTAGTAAAAAAAAAGAGGAAAGTAGTAAAAATAAAAGCAGCTGACTATCAACCAAGGAAATTGTGTTTTTTTCCTCTAAAGAAGAATGCAATATAAAAATAAGAGTGAGAAGTATTTTGTGTCCAGCGCTTATTTCCCAGATACATCTTTAATTTTTAGCTTAGGTTCCAGGAGTCTTCTATTTTGAAAGTTTTCAAAGTTGTCCTAGTTTTCAAATCTCATTCTTTAGGAATTCATCAGCAATATCAATTGTTATAAAAGTCTGGTACTTTATTGGGCTCCAAATTATTAAAAGTTTAAAGGTTTTGATTCTAAGGGCATTTACGTATTTTTAAGTGTTTTACTCCTACTGTGTTATTCAAACAATGTATGCTGGGGAAATTACTGATAGCAGTAATGTTTTCTTACCATAGTTCAAGGCCTCTGGGGCAGTCCACTTGATTGGAATTTGCTTTAATCCTGAAGATGAATATACTCCATCATCTTCTTGACGAGACATCCCAAAGTCACTAATTTTCAGAACATTATTTTCACCTACTAGACAGTTTCTTGCAGCAAGGTCCCTGTATTAAAAAAAATACGGTCTTTAGGCCAACACAAAAACAATATTTTTTTTATTAAAAAGCTAAATGAGAAGCCAATATAATTTCATTATTTTTGCACCAGAAAAAACCCCTAACTCACTAGTATGTGCAATATATTATAATTTGTGGAAAATAAAGTACTTTTGCACCATCAATATGAGAGCTTCCAAGGAAAAAATATTCTAAGATAACATTATTTTGAGGATTATTTCCAGTACAATTAAGAGCAACAAATCTGACTTGATATAGAAACTAGTCCAGTTTCTCACACCTGCTTAATGCAGAAGAGAAAGAAACAATACAATTTAATATTTAAAAATATATTTATTATGTATTTATTACTGTGGGCTACTTCAAAATATTGTTCTTTGCTACTGATTGCTAATGAGATATGTGATTTAAAGGTCAACCACTTGTTTCTTGTTATTTCAATTGCATTTTCTAATTTAAAGTCCATACTCTTAAGTTTATTCTTCACTTTAAGAAATATTTGATCAAATATATCAGAAAATATTGGAAGTGTATATTTTGATCTATAACTTTCACATCCCTTGGCAATGATTGTACTTGTTGGATATGATGGAAGATGATATTTAAAACATCTGGAGAGCACTATTGGAAAACAACAAATTTGAAAGAAGTGAAAAGCCAGCCAACTAAATTCTTCCAAAATTGGGGTGATTTGGTTTGAACACCAAATCTCAGTAGTCTGTTTGCTATAGTCTGACAAACTGGAGATTTTAAATTGTTTTCAAATTCAGCTTCACACAGAGAGGATTGAAATAACCAATCTTATTATAGTCATTGAAGTAAGATAGCCAACAGTAGGGGTTTTTTTTATGATAAGGTGGAACAAAAATTCACTCTGGTGTACTTTAATACTGTATTTATGTGAAAGGTAGTCTGCTTTTAAAATGATACACATACACACAATTTCTTTACATTGCTAATCTGCTAAATGCACTTCCCATTCAAATAATTGTGTATCTATGTATGTGCATATATATTGCTACAGGCCACACTCCAAAAAAGAAAAAAAAAAGGATCAAGGCAAACATTAAACAATTATTAATATAATCAATATAATGCTGATTAAAATTAGTTACATGTAAAATATTCTAACCATAAAAATAAATTGCCCCCCCACCTTCATGAATATGCATAAAGCATTCTTTTTCAGACACCAACTCACAGCCTTGCCCCTTTCTCCTTCATCAAAAACAGCAACAGAAGAAGAAAAAAAGAAAAAAGGGAAGAGGGGGCTGTATTAGGAAAGATCAAGAGAAAATGAGAACAAAAAGACTGATAAAAATTCAACATATTATATACCTGCAATAAATCTCATAGTATTATGGAATACAGTGATGCTTCTAGTCTTGTTCAGTTATTATGAAGTCTTGTGAAACTCAACTTTCTGTTCCATGAGGATGAAGGTATATTAGATATACCTGCCCTTGTTACCCTCATACTTAGAGGTCTGTCTACAATGTGGAATGGAAGAGGGAGAAGCCTCCACTGCTTTTGTTGTTCTAAACCATGGAATCATCTTCCAAGCCTTTTTCCTTGTTGCCTTTGATTAGGCAACCAGAAAGCAGAACTTCATGATTTGTATTACACTATGCACAATTTGTCCTGTCAAGAAGATGTTGTTGGTTTTTTTACTGTGTGGGGTGTGTGTGTGTAGAAAACTAATAATCAAACCAGCTGGGTGAACTTGGCCAATAACTCTCAGCCCAAACTATTTCACAGGGTTGTTGTGGGGAAAATAGGAGGAAAGTGTGTTGGATATGTTTGCCACCTTGAATTGTTTGTAAAAATAATAAAGGTGGAGAATCAATCAATCAATCAGTGTTTGGAACTGAAGCACAATCACACTTAGAGCATGCCATAACAAAACTAAGATCTGCTTTCAAAATATACCAGAATTTTGGAGAATGCTACGGGTAGTCCTTGACTTGCAATGGTTCATTTAGTGACCATTTGAAGCTACAGCGGCACTAAAAAAAGTGACTTATGACCATTTTTCACACTTATGACCATTGCAGCATCCCCAGGGTCATAATCAAAATTCAGATGCTTGGCAACAGATGCATTTCCTGGGGTCATGTGATCATCTTTTGCAACCTTTTGACAAGCAAAGTCAATGGGGAAGCCAGTCACTTATCATGTTATTAACTTAACAACTACAATGATCCACTAAACATCTGTGGCAAGAAAACTGTCTCACTTAGCAACAGAAATTTTGGGCTGACTTGTGGTTGTAAATTGAGGACTGCCAGTATAAAGAATTATGGGAAATGTCCTTTCCTATATTTAAGAAAAAAATAACTATCCTGTTATCACTGAACCAGGACCATGTTCTTCAGGACATGGCTTAGGATCATGGTAATTTTGTATTTGTATTTTAATATTGTGATTATCAGAGCTCTTCGAAGATCAACTTCCTATCATTTTACTACAGCTCTCACAGATTTAAATAATTGGAGAATTTTTGCAGTTGACAAAGCTAAAATTAAACAGAAATCTCAAATGAAAGGCAGGAAGGCTTGGTGAAAACTGCAGCAGAAAAACTTTTTTCAACTCAAATATTCTTAAAAGCAGTCCAAAAGAGCTTAATTCCCATTTGTTTATGAGCATAGTTGTGCAAAGGAAATTGTTAAACTATTGTACACAAGCATTTAATACACAGAATTATACTTATAGCTTTAACGACTCCTCCTGAAAAAAAGATGTATGAAGAATTTCCTATTTACTTTTATCATCAACATAATAAATTATGTTTTGAGAATTAAGATTTCTTTAAGGATTAAAATGATAAATTATAAGTTTTTAAATAGAATTGTATTTATATACAAGTTGAATAAAAGCCATAGATTTTCTTGTTTTTTTCCTTAGGCATAAACTAAAGTTATTATAATAAAGGTGATAAATTATGCTAGTTTGAGCAATGATACTGAACTAGCATCTCAAAAAATAGGCACATTTTGAATGAAGGGATGGAACTTTATTTCATGGTTATTAAAATACAGTATTGTGTTGCTATGGATAAGCAAATTGCCCATTCAAAGGAATATTTCATGACAGGCTCAAAAACGGCAAAGAAATATAAGAAAGAAACAAAGCTTCAAACAAAGCTATTATTCATTCATGGCCCATATACCCATATTAAGCAAACTTCTCACTTAGCCAGGAGAAAAGGAGTTTAATTATCTTCAATGTGGATGTTTGTGGATTTCAACGTGGATGCAAATTCAGCCTTGTGGACACAGAATATGACTTCCGCAGTATTCAGTAACAGATTTAAGCTCCTCCAAGACATATTAGCAACACTATTCATCTGAACAGATGCAAGGAATACCTGCCAGAATCAGTACTAATTGGAAAATGAGCAAAGCAAAACAGTCCCCTTCCCATATGGGAAGCAGGGATGCTTACATCCAAATGACATGGGATGTTCATGTTAGAATTATCACTTCTGTACTCAACCCAAATTTAGAAGCATTGCTTTTTTATGTTTGCAAAGCAGCTCTGGGGGATGAACCACAAAAAGAAGCCCCAAGAATACTGATAAATAATCTCAGAGAATTTTCCAAACTAGATTCTATTTTAAAAAACAGAAACATTTCTGCTTGTGCTGGTGGTGAAGGCAAGCAGTAAAGCAGCAGCCATCCTTCAAATTTCATATTTTAAGCTTAAGATGAAGGTTTTTAGATTGGATGATTGAAAAAGTATTTAGTAAAAGGGTGAGGATTATAATTATATTTAAGAGGGAGGAGGATTAATTTTGATTGCACCTGCTGTACGGAAGATCAAAAATAACTTTATTTTTTTTTTAAAAAAATCTTTAATGGTATTGTGGGTAGAGGCTTTTAAGAAGAGATTGTCTGAAATGGTTTAGGGTCTCCTGCTTGAGCAGCAGGTTGGATTAGAAGACTTCTAAAGTACCATCCAACTCTGTTATTCTGTTATTTTGTTTTCTTTTTTCTTCTTTCCTTTTATATATTTTTCATTTTTCTTTTATTCAAGTAAAATATTTTTTGCCTTTTGAGAAAAATCAAAATACTTTTTTGAGAAATAAAAATAATTTCTGAATAATAATTATTAAAAATTGAGAAAGGTTTGAGTAGTTCCCCCCAAAACAACCAGTAAAGCCATTTTTATTAGCCACTGTGTTTCCCTGAAAATAAGACCCGGTCTTATATTTTTTTACTTCCAAAAGAGGCATCAGGTCTTACCTTAGGACCGCCGCAGCCAGGTCTCCCACACCCCGACACCTGTTGTGCCGCTGCCTGAGTTCTTCTGTGGCTGCTTACAACCACACGGCGCATCACACCATTGCTGCTGCTCGCAGCAGCAGGCTGCATGGCTCGTGCGAATCACGCGGCTACTGCTGCTTGTAGCAGGAAGCCACATGGCTCATTGCGCTGATTGTGCTGTGGCTTGTGGCAGGCCACGGAGGCTGCATGGCGCTTTGTGCCAATCACGTCAGTGCCGCCGCTTGTGGTAGGAGGCCACAAGCCTCATCACGCTGATTGTGATGTGCCATGTGGCATGCAGCCACAAGTGGCTGCAGAATTCACATAGCAGCGCAACAGGTGTTGGGGCATGGGAGGCCTGGCTGCAGTGGTCCTAAGGTAAGCGGGTACGGGGCTCGTGGGGCAGCTCCACCCCCCACCTCTAGCTTGATTTTTACACATGCGCCTCACCCCAAAACTAGGACTTACTTTGGGCGTAGGGCTTAGATTGGGTGCACGTGTAAAATCAAACTAGGGCTTATTTTTGAGTTAGGTCTTATTTTGGGGAAAACACGGTAGGTAATACAATTGGAAACCACCCTTTTCTCAGGATGCAAACTGTCCTACAGGAGGGGAGCTGCCACTGAGTATGCCTATTATCAAACTCCATTCTGCCACACTATCTATTAAGTAGTGACCCTTAGTAGGTGCTCTCTAGTTTTCTGGAGAAACTTTGTGGGAAGG